AAGCTGGCAGTCCACTGATTCCCGATCCACCTGCTTCTTGCGATGACATTTTACGATTACGCACAGAGACGTTTGACAGACTTGAAGAAGGGATCAAAGATGATTTGCGCTTTCGTAAAGAGACTACAACAGCTTCGTGTGGTCTGCTCTGTCTTCGTGTTCTTCCCAGCACACTACCAACGCCCGTCAATGATCCTCTATCGCTATTATCGGCAGGTAAACCAGCAGTGCCTGATTGAGAGATGCTTTGATCTTGCTCGTTATCATCTTTCTCGTCGTCATCATCTACATAAACTGGAGGCCATATTTCCGGCAATGTACTAGCAACGGCAGGATGTCCATAACGTCTTCGACCGGTGTTCAAAACTCCATAACAGTAGCCCGCTGCCGGAGGTTCTCTGTAATCTGTATGACGATCTTTTTGTATAATGAATAATGTTTCATCTTTTGTCGAATACCGTTTTCGTGATAGTACTGTCTCACTTAGATCGATTCCATCCAATGCTTCCGCTCGCAGAGAACCGATCGGGTTTCTTTATTGATTGACCAGTTGCTTTTTACTGTTGTCGTTCGTTGAAGCATTATTAGCAACGGCATTGGCGATCTCTGCTGATGGTGCGAGCGTTGCCTGTGCCTTTCCTGTTCCTGGCTGTAGACTTGGCTTGTTGATTTCGGCAATGCTGCTCAAGCTAACATACTCGCTCAACTCTGTGAATGTTCGCGAGAGGTAATGTTGGAACCAAAACGTGAAAGCAATCAAAGGCAACGTCAAAGTGGACAATAGCAACTGCTTGCGAACCGAAAAGAGGGAAAGTTGAAAGATTTGAAAGAGTAGTAGAGCCCAAATGCAACGCATCGATGACAAAGGCCATGCTTGTCCTCTTGATTCGTATGATCGGTAGAAAACGAACAAGAGCTTGTACTTGTACACCAGATATGCCAAAGCAAAGTAGATCATTGCAAAGACGGTGATCAATGGCGTCACAATGCTGTAAAGAATACCCAATGTGAACACGATTAAAGCGGCAAGATTCACACTTCCAGAGTATAGTTGAGGTGGAGCGTTCAGTTCAGCATGTTGACGAGGTGTCTTTACCGTCAGTCGACCAAACGCACGACCAAGTGTGACCGGTAATTGTAGAAGCTGCAACGGTATGATGGCCAACGACTGGAACACCACGTACGACAAACTGAAATGACGTACTTGTGGTAAAGATTGAGCGAGCTTATCTATGATTCTCATCGGATTTCCAGCCAGATCCGTAAGTACTCCCAGTGCGGTCGATGTGATGAGGCAAATGAAGATGACGGAAATCATCAAGAAAAGATGATACCTCTTCAACACGCTCATTTCGATCAAGCTACGCGCTTTGATACCTTGTAGATATGCTGTCCATCCGAGGATGAGAGGAATAAAGTATTGAATCCGATCAAAACAACGGATGGCAAGCTGCTGCTGACCAATGCTTCCAATCGTCTATTCTTGCGTAAAAGATCGTACAGACCTGGCAAGTACTTCTTGATCGTGTTTGGACTGAGCAAAGAAGCAAGGAATGTCAAGGGCGGAATATAGAAGACGAACAAAGCAATTGTAAAGGCGGAAACGAGAAGTTGTCGAACACGTCTCTCGTTCGAGGGAACGGAAACATTACTCCAAATGATATCACGAGGTTCAGGTGCAAGACTTGTCTTGCAATAGCCCGGGATCGGGTAATGCACAGACTGAGCAACAACTCGAGCACTCATTGCATCGACAAAAGTCGCAAATCCGACAGAAGATGGTTTGCTGCCTTTGGAATTAAAACTGGCACCCTGCTTCGTCATATCCTCGGAATCGTGTTTCCAACAGAGTGATTGCATCAACGTTTCTGGAGAATGGATTCCAGGATTGAACGAGTGCAATTGAGGCCATACAAAAGCACTGTTACCTTTCTGTCCGCTTTCCGATGCATACACTCTCATTACTATACAGCCTCCTACCCGTTGGACAGTAACATCACACCATTCAAAGTCCATCTGACGAACATTGGTCATCTGCTCTGCCTATGTGACATACACAATAGAAGAACAAGAATCTTTTGTTGTGCTCTTTGGAGCGGCCTCGTTTACTAATCTTGAGTTCACTGTATTCATACTGCCGGCACGCAATTGCATGAATTCCGAAAATCCTGCAAATCGTGTACACCCAAGAATTTTACAAATGTTTGACTTCCCTGCTCAATTTCACTTCGCCACCACCACCACCCACTTCCACATGCAGCTCTTCGCAGGAATGCGCCCATTTAACTCCATTCTGAGCATTCATGCTTCCCTAAGGTTCGACAGATGGTAGAAGATTCTCTTTTGTGAGATGCTGTATGAAAAATTATCTCCCCTTCCTTCCCAGCAGCACGGAAAGCCTTCTTTCGTCAATATGACCGTTTCGAGCCTCAACATTGTTGAAGATGGTTTTACTTCGAACTCTTCCAGATTAGCGTTCTTGATGGGAATGGTTAAGGCCCACAAGAAGTAAGGAAATGGTCAACCTTTGCTCATTTCCGCATCATGACCAAATCTCAAGATGAACCCACAATGTACAAGTCCAAATAGATAATCAATGTCGATCAGTTGGACTTCCAATGGCGGTAGATACGATGTTGCTGTGACCCTATACGAAAGGAGATGAAGATTGGTGGAAGTGCGGACAATCTATCAGGAAGAATGGATCACACATGTTCTCCCAATTTGAGGTGAACTAAGGAAGAAGGCTCCAAAAGGGGGAGAAATAAACGATGGTGACGGTATAACTAGCTTTCACACTGCTTAAATGTTGAATACGCGCACATCAATTAGCTGTGATGGACGTGAGACATACAAGTTTACGGGCTTTCACTTCCAACGCAAGTTTCGGACCAAATGGATGAAGAAGAACAAAGGGTATGGAAGCTGGCAGAAGAGCAGAGAAAGAAGAATATCGGGAGTTACGGAGAGGGAGGCGTGAGAGAAGCTCAAGCACAAAGACAGGCTAAAGAGGCACAGGAACGATTTCAAGATGGTGCCATCATCTCACAGACCAGCTCCATCGAGAGGATATGGCATCGATTCGTTAGCCTACTGGGCTTCATCTCGACTCTATTTGCACACCTTCCGCCTGGCTATCAAGTGCCGAGGAGGACAAAAGGCCGTCATGCACAACGCGGTGGACAGCAAAACCGACTCATCAACGTCTATGGACCACTCAGATTTGGACGCAGGAACATAATCGTTGCTGTGAACGATTGTGGCCCGATCAGTCTTCTACGGTGCGTAGAAGATCAGTTTGAGCAATGGCGTATCGCAGAAATCCAACGATAGGATCGATAGACTATATGCACAATCATTGTACCATAACTCAACCGTTGTACTTGTAATTAATGTACTCTTCTGGCATACATTCCGTCTTGATCTACCTGCTCATGGCCACACTCGCTCATGGCCACACATGCTGATGATCACACTTGCTGATGATCACACTTGCTCATGGCCACAATTGCTCATGACCACACTCAACCATGGCCACACTCACTCATGGCCACACTTGCTCGTGGTCGCACTTGCTCGCGGTCACACTTGCCCATGATCACACTTGCTTATGATCGTGTCATAGACATCCGATCCCTTCACTTAATTCTCACAACGCACTCATTTTGCCTATCCTTTGATTGGCGACGGCATGACTACATCTCATTAGCAAACATTAGGGATCTTTTCACCACCACCAGCACCACCATCCTCCTCTTCATCGTCATCTTCATCGTCATCTTCATCCTCCTGTCGGCCGTGATGTTGTTGTATTGATTGAAGGGCCTACAGCGGAGAGGTGGTGGTGGTGGTGTGTGTTGAAGCAAAACGTAAGAGGAAATTGGTGGGTCATCGTCATCTTCATCCTCCGGTCGGCCGTGATGTTGTTGTTTTGATTGAAGGGCCTACAGCGGAGAGGTGGTGATGGTGGGTGTTGAAGCAGAACGTAAGAGGAGAATTGGTGGGTGTAAGAGGTGGTGGTGGTGGTGGTGGTGGATGTGGAAGCGAAACGTAAGAGGAGAATTGGTGAGTGTAAGAAAGAATGAATGGGGGAGGGGAAATTTTCAGCTTTCGAAAAAGGCCTCCTTTTAAATGTTTGTAGTCAGACGAAGAAGTTTGTTCATAGTTATGCAATTTCATGGAGATGCACCACTGATGCTATCCTGACATCAAAGTAGATGTTGCAAATCAGGTCCAACGGATGGTACATCAAATCCAATGGACGGTACATCAGGTTCGACGGATGGTACATCATTTTCAGCGGATGGTAAGTCAATTTCAACGGATGCTATATCACACTCAACGGACGGCACGTCAGTTGCAACGGTGTATGATGTTCAACGGATGGTGAATCAGGTCCAACAGACGGTAGATAAGAACCAACGGATCTGATAAGCTGTAAACGACGAGGCTCGTAATAAGATATATAAATTCTTTGCTTTCCGAACTTGTAACTAAAAATAGCATCCACCGCCGTTGGAAGTCCATCTGACAGACACTGTTTGTCTATTCTGCATATATGATATACACAATGGAGAGGGCAAAATCATTTGTTGAACTCTATGGACGGGTAGAGCATAGTTTGAAAGTCAATTCTACAGTCCAAAGTGTAAATGATATGTTGCGCGTACTTCTCATATGATAGATCTGACCCAATGGATTAGCTTCGACATGTCACTACTGTAAGAGTCGCTTGCTGATTTCGATTTTGTCATAACCATATCTGCTGGCTCAAGGTCGTATGATTCATGATAAGTCTGTAGAATAACAAAGAGAAATTCATCTTTTGTATAAACACTTGACTTCCCTTTTCAAATTCATCCCACTACCACCACCCACTTTCACACGCAGCTCTTCGCAAAAATGCGCCGTATTTGATCTGTCATCCAAACAGGTATGCGCTAAAGACCGATGCTTCTTCGACTGCCAGTGATCGCTTGCAAGAGCACATAAATGCGGGTATAGAGTCATCCTCAAATAAAGAAAATTTTGCCCGACTTAATCGATCTCACTTAAACCTAAGATTTAATGATGAACTTCTTCGGTAAAGATGAATAGATATCACTGGGAGATGCAGTCAAAAGCGTGAAGTAGGAGCGTGGAAAACGAGGGTGGAAGAAAGATAATTGTTGATATCAGGTGTACTATTTCTCTTGTTGAG